CAGCGGCAGACAGTCAAAAATTCAATAAACAATAAGTCCATTTCTTTTCTTCATTCTCTGTGTTTCCCTGCAGGCAGCAAGCAATGTCTGCAAATGGAGCTTTGTATAAACTTTGTCCAAGCTTCAAAAATGACAATAAACAAAAGGAGGCCAGAGCTATTTGCTCTGTCAGACAGAAACAGTCAACAAAGGTTTAGAGCGCTGTGGCCCAGACCCATGAACAAAAGCCTCTTTGTCCCAGAGTAAGGTCTTGAGGGGGGGTAAGGGAGGAGGGGAAGGTTGAGCCGGGAGGTGCCAAGTCACTCAGAGCTGTTCAGGTCAATTAAGCCTAGTGTTTGAGCCACAGGAAATCTATACTAACACTCATTATTGCTCAGACAAGAAAATGTATGTGTGCTGGCCTGGAAATATACAAGCTTCTCCTGTATTACATAGTCCAACCATATATGTAGGCACCAGCAGGGCATATGGAAAACATAAAACCCACAAGAGTTAACTACATCTCAGTCAGATGGACTGGCTGGTTGACCGGGCATGTTGCTACACCTACTTACTGTGGACAATGATTGTGTAGACAAGGAGAAAGAGGGTGCAGCAGGAGGTGGCGGTGGTGTGAGAAGAGGAAGAGGCAGGGGGATACAGCTCGTTTGAGGAGCGAACCAAAGGTGGCTGTGCCAAATGAGGTAACTGCTTTAATTTGTTGGAGATTAGAGGTTGAATGTGTTTTTAATCAATGTGTGTAACAGTGGCATCATCAGACTCATGACTTAATTACGTTCCAGCTCCCTAACCTGCGCTCAGCCAGCCTGACTGCCTTGCTCTCTCATTAACTAAATCTAATAAAGTCTTTGGAGGAACAGGCATCTTGAAATGAATCCACTTATATCGCTTTCCTGGGGCCCAGCACCATCTCCTCAAGGATAAAACCCAGTCTACTGTACATTATCAGCCCTGATGTTTAAAAAAAATAATTAATCTTTGGGAGCAGTTGAAACTAGGAAACAGTGCAGCTTTCTTAACTGAAGAGGACAAGTTTCTGGCAAGGCCATGAGCAAAATCTCTGTCAGTGAAATGTTACAAAGAAACTAAAGTCTATCAACACATTACACAACTCTGCTACCATGCCTTGCCAAATTCTTTTAGCTATGTCTTCATTAGAGTGGTGTTTGAAGTTGTTTTTGGTTTCTGTATATACAACCCATGTGACTTACAGATCACTATAGATGTTAAGTAATGCACACTAAACAACATTAGCATTATATATTTTTTTAAAGAAAAACGTTTTTTATATTTATCTTTAGACAATACAGACATATACAGCAGAAAGACAGATGGCCATAAATAGAAAACATATATTACAAACATCTTTTCAGAGGATTCTTCAACAAATACAGTCTTTCTTCTTAATCCAAATTGGTAAATTTGAAACAAAATTTCCAATTGTTCTTTAAAAAGGGTCTGTTCTTTGAAACTAAGACCATTTAATCTTTATAAATGGAAGGAAAAAAGGAAAAAAGAAAGTCGACTTTAGGTCAGTGAGATCCATCCCATGCCCTTCCTAAATTCAAGTTCACGTGCTTAAGCAAATGCCAGATGCTGACTGTCACTGTACAGTCTGCCATGACTAAAAATTGAGCATTTCAGTCCAAAACCGCAAACTCCATTGTACAATGTTTCTCATTAAGGCTCTTTGGTAGCAGTATCATTGCACTACTCTAGCTAATTGATCTGGATTGAATTTCCAGGGTTCTTGAACGGGCCCTTCTGTGTTTCTTTCACCTTGCTCCAAGTGTAACGGGCTACAGGTCACGAGACTCACATAAGCATGACCATTAAAAATGGCAACTGCCATTTATCAAATGTAAAATAAATCTATAAGACTGACTTTAAGATAAAGGAAAGACAGAAGAACAAACATTTAAATAATAAAAAAACACAGTTTGATGATATCAGTAATTTATATCTTTATAATGTTTAGCTGTCTCTTAATGTTCAGTGACTTGTTCATTATATTTAAACTGTATGTTCATATTAAACTTCAAACTTTAACTTTATAACTTTATTAAACAGACAAAAGTAAAAGCTATTACAAAAGCTATTAAATCAGAGGATTACTTGGCAGATTTAGTGTAATCTCCTGGGTTATTTTACTGCCTGCAAATTTAGAACAGCTCATGAGTAATCTGTAATTGACTGCTCCATAATATCCGACAGTAACCTTCCTCGCTTTACTCCCTATCTTGTGCCTCTCTTGTCCTAGTGCTCACTCGGTGGCTTCCAGGGCCAAAGCCTTCCAGCCACAGGGTTTTCGGTTCCAGCAGAGATTAGAGAGGGCCAAGCGATGAGGCGTCCCTCAAACATCCTGCCTGGAGATAGAGGTGGACAATGGAGCAGCTGTGTCTGTGTCAGCACCAGCTTTCCAAACATACACATGTGCGGGGACACCCCCTACCACCCTCTCTTTTACTCCCACATGCTTACACAAACACACACTTGCACCCTTTCCTCTCTTCGCCACTACACCTGAACTCACATTGAAACATATTTACTTGCATCTGATGTGTGAGTCAAGTCATGTGAGTTGCATCACAGTGAAAATGAAAGAATAAAAAACTTTGGCAGGGTCTACATTAGACCATTTTCTAGAAACTGAATATAGTTAACATTATTTTTTGGACCATTTACCAAAACAACCCTAAAGTTTTAAAACTGATTTCCTCACTTCCTGGCAGCCAGCGGAGTCCATTTATTTAATAACCCACAAAAATGGACTTTCAAGAGTTGAAATACACAATCCATCACAACCTTTTACTTCCTGACAAAGTTACATTATTGGCACAAGGTGTAATCTTGATGTTCATTACCAAAAGGTTTTTCATTCATAAACTCTTTAATCATTTAGTTTATGTAATGTTTAAAAAGACTAAGTAGAAATGAAAGGTAGGGCATCAATCTGAAACCCTCTACTATGTTTAAGAGATGGTCATCAGTGATTTGAAATAACATAGACATGTGATTTGCTGTTACTTTGCATCTTACACTTAAGGTAGCACATGTTCACATTGCATTTTATTTGTAAATATTTTCTTGGTAATAGTTTTCGAACCCTGATAAAGCCAGTCATTCTCCTGACACACCAGCATAAAGACAGGTCGGTTAGAAACAGGGCCAGGGTTCGTTCATTTGTTATTTTCTTATTCATCGTGAATTTAACTTCCACTGTTCTGTGGATGGAGAGAGGAGTGTGTCAGTGGTTCAGGGGCAGTATATAAAAGCCTCATGTGCTAAGTTTTGGAACTACAGTTCCCATGATGCTTTGGTGGGCATAAGCAGGAAGTTTACAACTTGTGGCGTGCTACAACTTGAATCCTGTTTTTTTTAAAGCCTGTATGTATGTATACTTTGGAAAATGGCATCATTAAAAGTATGCTGAATTAGCTATAGGTAAGTGGTAGGCAGTTTGTATTGGCAGTGTACCTGTGGCTGCATGGATCACTGTTGCTGGATTATTGTGATACTGAGGAAAGCACATTGATCCCCAGGTGTGTTCTGGAGTTATACAGAGAGTTTGTTTCTATGGCTTTAAGGACATTAACTCACGAGGGACATAGATGGACAACGTACATCTGAGTGTAAGTCACAAAGAAACTATGTATTTATGTTTCATGTCTGTTTAAATGTTTAGATTTTACATATTTAGATATGAATCTGAGAAGTGTTTTTTTGTTTGTTTGTTTGTTTTTCGACACATATAGCAACATTTAGACACTAGGGGTATTAAAGTACACTTATTTTTTTCCATGAGCTTTGTGTCACTGCCACTACTGCTGCTCCAGCTGCTGGCTGTTTTGATAAGGCCAAACTACAATAACTTCCTGCTGTGTACCTGTCCCTTTCCCCCCCCAGGCAGTATTTTTGCTTTACATCTCTACCTCTGCACTCTCCCGTGCTCCTCTGGGGAGGTGCACCACAGAGTTTGAAAATCTCAGATCTATGCAAACCAGTGGCCCCAGCTCTACTGTTTTTGGCTCAGATCAGTCTCAGAGTCAGACATGCAGTTCAGTCAGATTTTACCCACTGTGATCAGGCCTTTACTTGAAACATCTGAAGATGTTTTGCTGCATGGCATTCTCTTTTCCGTTATTTTGCCTCTCTCGGCTGTGAACTATGACTCAGACATGCTCTGATTATGGGAAAGTGCTGTTACACAAAACATAAAGGTCTATAGGGGTTGTAGTGTTGATCTGAACATTTGAAACATTTCTGAAGAAAACAAAATAACTGAAGCTTTGACAACTGATGAGTGCAGAACATTGGCTGTCGATGTGAATCACTTGGCGTGGGCTTTGCATTTCCCGAAATTCTGTGACAAAAATGTGTGAGTAGGATGGAAGGTATGCAAATATGGAGGCACTGTAAAAGGATGGGTACAGACAGAAAGAAAGAGCTGAAGGATTGAGGCTAGACAGTAGATCAACTGAGTGCAGGCAAGAGTGTGAGGTTGGCTGCGACAGAGTGACAGAGAGGGTCGCCGTCGCGCATGTAGCCCTGCACGGCCATTAGAACACAGGGGCTTTGTGTGGAAGAATGTCGTTTTCATAACAGCGCATTTCTTCTGGGGTAACCGCAGGCCAGCTTGATGCATCTGCTAGGTCTTTGTCAAACAATCTCACACATTGGTAGCAGAAAAGAGGGTAATGTGATTAGCATGCATCCTGCACCTTTTGCCACCACCCGTCTTTCTAAAAGCTCAATGCCTGCATGTCCACCCTTCCTCACTACCTCCCACCCTTTATCTCTCATCACCCAGTTCACCCCTCTCTCTTCATAACTGGATCATGGGTGGTAGAGCAGGGCCCATTGTACATTGTTTTGGCTTTCACTGGTTCAAATCCTCTTCACAAAGTGGATGGGAGGGAACCATGGAAGCCAGTAGGCACCTTTGGGCTGTGAAGCAAGTTGCTGGGGTTCTGAATAGGCTGAGGGCATCGAGAGGCCCTCGATGATGTGGCGGCATGAAATCCAACACAGTTCACTCACCTCCAAGCTGAGGCAGGTTGTTCTTTTCGAAGGTTGAGATTCTCATTACGTTTTAATACATTCTCTTCACACTTCCTATTGTGTGTGTGTGTGTGTGTGTGTGTGTGTGTGTGTGTGTGTGTGACGGGGTGAGTAGGGTGAGGGGCATGTTTTGAGCAGAGATACTTACAGTAACACAGTTAGGTAGGCATGTATAATAGTTGAAAACAGATGAGTTTTTTTTATATTTATTGATTAAAATTAATTCAGTATTCTCAAAATATTTCCACATCCTAGTTTTTATTGCTAGAGAGCCCAGTAAGTAGATAACTGTCTGCTCTCAAATCACTATTTAGTGTTCCTAAGTTAGTAATTTGTGCTTTTGAATTACTTAGATGCAGTGCACACCAACTAACAATATGCTAAAGGCATGTCACAGATAACGCCATGTCTTTTTTTAATGCACAATTTCTTAAGTATATCAACATACTATATTTCTATTCAAAATCAAATAAAAAAAAAACAAAGCAACTCAGCTGATTTAGATAAATATAATCAGTGTTATAACCTAACAATGGTGATGTAAAGAAAAAAAGTTAGTGCACCAAAACCCTGGTCCTGGCTTGTTTCTGAATCTCTGACTTCTCTCGAACAAACAGAAGTAGCTACAACAACCTGTAGCTTCAGCTCTTGCTGTTATAATAACTTGACACTAATGTGAGAGCATACGTTGCTGCCAAATTCTGTATATTCTCATTAATATTGTATTAACTGTGAAAATCTGAGGAGAAAGAATATTTTGCATTCTTTCAGACTTGTGTTTTGAATGGAAACTTTCAACTCATATTGGGGTGATTATAATTACCAGAGCTGTAAGTTTTGTTTCAGAATGTGGACGTGGCTGTATGTTGCTGGTGCTGGAAGGAGAGGGAGAGGAGGCAACCATGTAATCCCAGTCATTAGTGGGTTTTAACAGGATTTGGTGCAGCTACAATAATGGAGACTCTAGTGGCCTCCACTGCGAGAGCCAAAGAAACCTGACAGGGAAGAACAGCAGCCACAGGGACACAACTAAGAGAAGGTTATCTGGATTTTGACTGTGTGCCTTTGTGTCTCTGTGTGAGTGCTAACGGTAACTTCTTACGCCAATCTTTCCCTCTGCTTCTCTTAGTCTCCCACACACTCTGGTTCCCATGCTTCCCAGCATCAAAGAGGGGTGTAAACAGTGTGGTTGGTGTTACCATGGTAAAGTCTGACTGAGGGTTGGGAATGGCGGCTATGCCCTGCATGTGGAGAGACCTGGGGCATTACAACACACATACAGTACACACACACACACACGCACAATTATGTATGGAGTGTCTGAATCATTCTCTGCGTGTTTCTACCCCTCATGTCCTCAAGTCTTCCAGTTATCCTGACATAGCTTTGCATTTTCACCATTTCAGTCATATTAGTAATGATAACATGATAGTTCATTGCTGAGATGTTGGAAATCCGGTAGCATTGCTGAAAAGAAGCCAGATGTGCACCTGATAGAAATGGAGTCATGAAATAAGCATCTAGATGTTAAGGGACTAAAGTAGTCATATACAAGTCATATATTTAATCAACATTAAATAGATATGGGTCTCACAACTAATGATATTTTACAAATATATTGCAAAAGTTATATGACCTTATCAAAAGAGGCCATTTAATTAAATATTTGCTCATATACAATGGTTGAAACAGGACTGCAAAAAGAGCATTTGATTCCACCAAATCAATACATTTCATTCAAGACTCCAACTGAAGATGAATTATCAAT